TTATGCGACGCCGCCGCCGCCGCCGCCCCGACGTCGCCGAACAGCCGACTTCCTGCGTGTTCCGCGCGTCGTGCGCAAGAGCTTTAGCTCGCCGGCAATACCATGCTTACCGCAGCGGCCAGCGAGAGTCGGATACCGAGATGACGTCACCACGGCCGCTTCCGCCGCCATCGCCGACACTGACGCCGCCACCGCGGGTCGGCCGGCTATGGAACGGACGCTGTCGTCGCAGACGCTCGAGGCGAGGTTGTGTCGGCGATACTACCTGCGCCGTAACGCGCTCTGCGACCCGGAGGTGATGCCGATGATGCAGCAACAGCGCGAGGCGATCCAGCGCGATTGCGAGGCCCGCCGACGCACGCTGCGGCGACGCGTCACCAACTACGTCCTGCGAAACACGCTCATGAACGCCATCGTGCGGTGCCAGTGCGACGAGGATCTGTAACCTGGCGACAGGACATTGCCCGCCAGAGGGCGCCTAATCTTACCCCAGTCGCCGACAGGGGTGTAAGAGCACTGACGGTGTGGCTAGGGACTCCAGGAGACTCGACACAGTGAGATGGGGGAATGGTCCTCTACTGTGCGGGGGGGGGCGTTTTTTTAAGGTCAATGATGGTGTATTTAGGGGCTGCTGGAGTCCTGACGCTGTGGGATGGGGCATGGTCCTCTACTGTGAGGGTGGGTTTAAGGTCAATGGCTGTGTGTCTGAGGGACTCTAAGAGTTGCGACACAAGGAGACGGGGCTGGTCCTTACGGTGAGTGTTTGGGGCTAAGATCCCTGGAGGTGGGTGGGTGCGGTGCTGTGGGGTAGCTAAAGTTTTCGATTGGAAGGAGGGGTTAAACTCATATTACGAGTAGAACACGGTGAAATGCTATGTGAAACGACCGGTGTAAAATGTGATTTGTTAGCGTGTTTGGCAGACAATCCTTGCTATGTTCATAAGAATTAATATATATATATATATATATATATATATATATATATATATATACAGTGATTTAACATATAATACAGATACACAGCCAAACATTCTACCGATTGTTTGTAACAAACAATAATGGCACAGATAAAGTAAATGTAAGATACGTGTGATTTTTTCCATAGATCGTTTTACAGACAAGTGGCTGACATTTTGCACTGGGAATTTCTGCTCGTTTTTTGTCGTTTAACGTAACGATATATACGTCATTGAGGATTTACTGACACGATTCTGTGTGATTACGTTTGTATATTTATTTCATGTTTTCACTCAGAAAAGCAGTGAATGAGGCTTTTACGTATTTTATTTATTTAGTTGTGGTGATTGATAGTATATGGCCTCACCTGATATTAAATCTGTCTTAAACACTCTTACACACGTTGTTTACACATACATACATCGCGCATAGATGCAAACATCATCACACACATACATACACATACATGCACACACACACACACACACACACACACACACACACACACACACACACACACCCAACACACACACACACACACACACACACACACACACACACAACAACACACATACACACAAACGCACGCACGCACGCACACACACACACGCACGCACGCACGCACGCCGCAGCGCACGCACGCACGCACGCACGCACGCACGCACGTACGTACGCACACACACACACATGCATGCCTTCTCGATATCAGTTATCTTATATATTGTACGCGTTACTGTGGGTACGTGGTATACTGACTAGAGCTCTCGCTGTGGCGTGACACCGAGCCATTGATTTTCTGTGCAACAGTGCTTTCCGCCGTCATTCCCTTCATTTAATTACCCTCATAATCCCTTCGGGCGAGATTCAATCTTAGGGGGTTATAGGTATCCGTATAAAGGTGAACTAATTAAATAGAGAGATTAATCATTAAGAGTATTACAATGAAGCAAAAGTAAGTGCCCGACAAATAGACATTACGAATTCATGGATAAGAACAATAGATTAATCATGAAGAGAATCATCAATAGACTAAACGTTTCCATGTCTATACGTTTCCATGAGTTATAAGTCTACGTAGATTCAACCACTTGTGTGGCAGTGGCTATATATATGTTAGATAAGAGCACCTTTTTTTTCCCCCCCCCCCCCCCCTTTCTCCACCCTTCTCGCCGTCATGCACTCTTTGTGTGGAATCTCTTCACCGCTTTACCTTTATCCATAAGCTCCCTATATGCCCAGATAATATCAGGAGTGAATAATAATAGATATATTATTATTTACTCCTGATAGTATGATAGCTGGTACGCGCCTGTTTAGAAGCACATGGGTTCTGTCTACGGGTTTGTTCTAACACGAAACAGACAGGACATGTGCGGTTGGTAATGTAGCATGTACAGAGCCGATGTAACATGTGTGCAGTGAAAAATAATAAATAATAAAACTTTTATCATCGCATAGACTTGCTCAAGAATAGGTATTGCGTCTCAACATCAGTCTCTCAGAGTAATCTATTGTTCTCTTTACTGTGCATGTATTGCCTGTACACACGGTTTCTCTATTTGTTTAACACATTCTTGTTGATTTACAGATTGATCGGCTATCGATTATCGGTATAATGCATATTATATATACTGTATATTATTTTATGCATGTAACTGTATGTGTGTGTGCGTTTGTGTGTCGTTGTGGTTGGTGGCATTGTGTGTGTGTGTGTGTGCGGCCGCGTGTCGGCTGCGGTGTGGGTGTTGCTTGTGTGCGTCGTGTGTGTGTGCGTGCGTGCAATGCGTGTATGTGATGTGGTGGTGTTTGCTGTGTGTGCGTTGCGTGCGTAGCGTGCTGTGCGTCGTGGTGCTGTGTGTGTGCGTTGTGTTGTGTGTGTGTGTGTGTGTGTAGTGCGTGCGTGCTGCTGTATGTGTGTGTGTGAGTGTGTGTCGTGTGTGTGTGTGCTGTGTGTGTGTGTGGGCGCTATGTGTCTCCGTGTGTGTGCGTGTGAATGTACACTAGCTAGTAAGTAAATATGTGGTATAGATTCCTTTTTCGAAATCTCTTATACGGGCCGAATCAAATTAGTACTCCCGTTTAAAACCTTTTCGACACCTAAATTCGAACGGATAAAATTAATCAGAGAATGATACGTAATAGATAGACCGCGTACGCAAGATCGAATATTATCAATACCCAATATAATCAAACGCGATTACAACAATGCTGTTTAATACGTATCCCTTATATGTGGTGTATTTTTAACATTAAACATTATTGACGTAACAAACACGGATGCTTCTGTAACTGGCTGTAAATATATTATAGTCTATCATATAACATATTTGTTATATGTGTAATCATATTAAATATACATATATATATTTATGGTATCAGGACAAATACACCACCGCGCAAGTCACCCCCGCCGACATCTACCTCCGACCAATTACCCCCCCGGACATTTACCACCCTATGCCATTCACCCCCGGACATTACCCCCCGTGACATCACACCCCCCCGCAGACATTTACCCGCCGACATTTAGAGAAGCAGTATGAGGACGATCGGAGAAGTAGTAAAGGAGGAAGTATGAAGTAGGGAGGATGAGGTTAGAGGAAGTAGAGGGGGGCACGCAGGTGTGTGGTTGAGGGACGGGAGGAAGAGCGGAGTCGAGGGGAGAATGTGATGGAGGAGACGAGCGAGAGGAGGAGGTAGAAGGCGCCCTCCATCTACCTCCCCTTTCATCACCCTCTCCCTCCTCCTCCTCTCCACCTACTCTTCCTCCTCACTCCTTCCACCTCCTATCCCCTCTCCTCCTCCATCCACCTTCTTCCCATCTCCGTCACCACCTGGCCCTCCGCCTTACCTCCTTCCTTCTTACCCTCCTCCTCCTCCACGCTTCTCCACCCTCCCCCTCCTTCTCCACCACCTTCTCCCCACGTTTCGTTTTCTCTTCCTCCTCTCCACCTCCTCTCAGTCTTTCTCCTCCTCTCCTTTACCTCTCTCTCTCTCCCCCTCCTTCTTCCCCTTCTCTCCTCCTCCACCTTTCTCTCCCCTCCTCCCTCACACCACCTTCTCCCCACGCTTCTCCCCCTCCTCTTCCACCTCCTCTCCTCTCCTCCTCCTCCTCCTTCCCTCCACCTTTCTCTCCTCTATGCTCCTATCTCCTCCTCCTTCACCTTCTGCCTTCTCCTCCTCCTCCTCCTCCACCACCTTCTATTCCACGTTCTTCTCCCTTTTTCCTCTCAACCTCCCACCTCTTCTCTCCTCCTCATCCTCCTCCATCCTCCTCCTCTTCACCTTCCCTCTCCTCCTCTCCTCCTCCTCTCCTCTTCCTCCACCTTCTTCCCCCTCTTCTTCCTTAGTACCACCTTCTCCTTCCTCTTCCTCTACCACCATTCTTCCCTGCCTCCTCCTCCATCCTTTCTCCCACGTTTCTCCCCTCCTCCTCCTCCACTCCTCTCCACCTTCCTATCCTCCCTCTCTCCTCTCACCTTCTCCTCACCTTCTCCCCCTCCTCCATTCCATCCACCACCTTCTTTCCTCCTCCTCGACCTTCCTTCCTGATTATTATCACTGTTCAACCAAATGAATAATAAACAACAATGTGATCGCTAAATGATCCTTGAAGGTGACTTGTCCGGGGGGTAAATGTCCAGGGGGTAATTGCTCCGGGGGGTAAATGTCGGGGGTAATGTCCGGCGGGTTAAATGTCCAGAGGGTAATTGTCCGGGGGGTGATTGTGGGGGCGTAATTGTCCGGGGCAGTAACTTGTCGGGCGTGCGTGATTGTCCGGGGGGTAAAGTTAAATGTTCCGTGGGTAAATGTCGGCGGGGTAATGTCGCTCCAGGGGTAATTGTCGAGGGGGTGATTGTCGAGGGTATTGTCCTAGAACCACTACATATATATATATATAATATATATATATTTGTAAATAATGTAAAATTAATAAATATATCAATAATGAACTGTGTAAATTACTCATTAAAGTGTGGAATTATCTGTAAATGGTTTGTAAATTCTACACCGCGCATATAATATATCCATGCAACAAATACTCTCAATAATTTGGTATTTATTTAATTGAATTCATGCTCCATCTGTTCTACTCTATAAACGTTGAATGTCTAGTAGATGTCGCCATGTGTGTGTTGTAGAGCCAATAAGCAGACCAACAAGTTCAAACCTAAAATGTTAAAGTTATATAATTATAATACAAATAGTAAACAAATGTCATAGACATAGGTTAGGACATATCAACATAGCTACACATAATTTAGTCCTTTAGCTAGTTTACTTGCACTAGATAAATATATTCCTATACTCATAAAAGATGCATACATTTGCCATATAAACAGTTTCATTAGATACTAGACGTTCTCACCGAATATCCAGTAATGTGCTAGGACTGCACTAGCGCCCTCTGTCGTCGTGGACAGCGTCGATGTCGGGTCAACGTTAAGCATATCCCTCACATGTGCCCACGTGCCGTTATTCGGAGCAGGCTTCAGCTCGAGTAGGTGACACATGAGTTGATACACGTCAACGTGATATATGAATTCGTCTCTGTAGAAGCCTTGTTTGAACGCTGGCCCGTACGCCCAAAATATGCTGGCCGCTTTGTCATTAAACGGATCCATTTGATGACTTCCTCTCCCGCTAGCTCTCTGTGGAACATCTACGAAGGAGTTACAACGATCATTTCTCAAATAAACCCACAAAGGAATAAATACAGCTCAAATTTACACTCACCTGTCAGTGTACATATTACTGATTGTATCCGGTGTCCGTATGTCTTTGTCATATCAATTCTATCGATCTGCGCTAACAATTTATGCCAAAAATATCCGGTACCACTCCAATCACGATCACATACACATTCGCACGCACGCACCAAGCACGCGCCATGCACGCGCACACGCACGCACACACGCGTACATGCACACATGTGCCCATAAACAGCGTATTGCAGTATTACTTTAGAATTTATAAGTAATATTTCACTACCAGATGACCACAATGAATTCAGGTCATAGTCAATAACGTTCAAGGCAAAGTTTAGTCGGGCAGCGCATATTTCAGCTGCTAATTATGAAGCAAATATAACATTTAATGCGATTAAAACGTTTATAGCAATATTTACCAGTTCTGCTTTTAGGACCGATGTCAAGCTTAAATCCTTCGTCTGCTATCAAAACCATGGAGACCATACGACGCGTGTTGTTGTAATGGTACCTTTTGTAGTTAACAAAAATACATTTAAGGTTATATGTAAAAATATAAGAAATACAGTAATTGTGTTGATATTTACGTAGGGCTACGTATATACGTAAGTAGAAAAACCCGTGTACGGATCCGCTATTTCATGTCTATGGATAAACCATATACGTGTATACACCGATCTTTCTGTTAATAAACCATATACGTGTATGCACCGACCTTTATGTTAATAAACTATATACGTGTATGCACCGATCTTTCTGTTAATAAACTATATACGTG